AAGGACAGAAGGAGAGCTGCACTAGTGGGCATGAAAGGAGAGCCATCAGTTAGGGACTCGGAAGCTGTGCTTTTGATGAATTTTTGTTTCCATTCCAAATGCTTGAATCAAGACTTTCTACTTAAAATTGAACCAGGAAGTGTATTAGCTTTGTGATCAGAAAGCTATCTTTCATCATGAAATGTTTCCTGTTTTCACGAGTTTTTGTTTGTATAACAGTTTATTGTGTACACATTGCAAACTTTGGACTGAGTCTAGAAAGATCAGTACGATACTTCTCCCATTAGAGCTGAGTAAATGTTGCATGAATTTTGGTGTAACTCTATTTTCTATTAAACACTTTTGGTCTCTTGTTTTGAAATTGTACACACTTGTAATCTTCGCTAAATTTTACAGACCCAGGAATGTCCAAGAGATTTGTTTCCCCTTCATATTTTGATTTTGACGTACAAATCTTAAATTTACCAAAGCTAATGTTTCTGAAGGACTGTTATTTAGAAACCACTCAGCAAGACATTGGACATTTAAAACAATTATTTTGTTGCGGGGCCATTTCTACACACACCGTGTAATGGCAGTGACGGCATTCCTAGAGTTGAGAATGCACCGCACTCCTCCCCCGTCTCGGGTTCTTTCCATGAACAGAAGCTCACTGCTTGCTAAGGTTCTCATCTAGTTTTTTGACTTGTGTTCATTTGATTCCATATAGATAGTTCTTACAAGCATATACTGCTCAAGGCACGCACATGTTGCGAATCCAGCTGTGTGTGGTTTCCAGACTGCAGGTGCTGTAGTTGGTTTAAGCTTAAAAGAGTATAAGGGGCAGTAGCGCCAGGAGTTCATCCCGTCTCCATAGAACTAGGAAGTCTGGGTTTCATGAGAATTTGAAATTCTGTTGTGTTTCCCCCACTTTGATCTGGATTCTTCCATGGAATCTTTGATCAAAATGTTCATTAATGGCAGTTCTTCGGTCTCATGGCAAAGGAGGCACTTGTTCATGCATTTAATTACCAACAGATTCTGTACTCTCCTGCTGCTCCGACATCCCTTCTTCCTCTTGCTTCAGGAGAATGATCAACTTTATAATGTCCTCTGATAACAAAGCTATTTGCATCCCTCAACTATGATCAGAGGCTTAATCCGTGTGTGGACCCTGCAAATAGATTTTGGGCTTCACTGTCATCCACAGCCTTCTTTTTAACTTCTTATGATTGGGTGACCGCTATGCGTCGGAATCATCTTTGCATTCAGCAACCCGTGCACGTTTTGTTTCTTGATATTGGTTGAAATCCTCACAATGTACGACACTTTCTACTTCCTCTCTGGGTTTACAGCCTTTCCTATCCCTTCCTGCCTTCTGATGAACTTTATCCCTGGGCAAATGTGCTTTGTTTTCATGTGATTGGTTTGTATAGTATGTTATATAGATGTCATGTAAATCTTTCAATTACAGATCAATTATAAAATATGCATAAGCAAAAACCCTAATCTGTTGCCATTGAGTCTGTTCTAACTCCTAATGACCCTATATGGAGTTTGCAGGATTACAGATCTTTATAGGAGCAGACAGCCTCATTTTCTCCTGCAGAATGGCTGATGGGTTAAGTAGTAAATTAATATTTAAAAATGTTGCTATATACTATCGCATTGTGTGAATATACTGTAGTTTCTTTATTCTCCTATTGATGAATATTTTGGTTGTTTTCCCATGTTTGACAAAAATGAATAAAGCTGCTATGAATAGTCTTTTGGGGACATTTTTATTAATTACTCTTGGTGTCTTATGCTAACTGAAAGGTCCATTGTTTGAACCCGGCACGGGGAAGATGAGGCTGCCTGCTTTCATAAAGATGTAAAGCCTTGGAAACCCGATGGAGCAGATCTGCTTTGTCCTAAAGGATCATTATGAATTGGAATCAGCTTGACTGCCCTGGGTTTGGTTGGTCTGGCTTGGTTTGGGCTTTTCTCTTGAGTCTACGCCAAGGAGTGGAATTGCTGGGTTGTGAGATTGCTGTCAGTTGCCTTCGAGTCCGTCCAACTCACTGTAATCCCATGAGTGCAGAGCAGAATTGCTCCATAGAGAATAGACATTTTTAATTGTAATGAAGTCTATTAAATCAGAAAAAAAATCCTTTTATGGTTTGTACTCTTTTGTATTCTGTTTAAGAGATTATTGACCCCAAAGTCATGAAGGTAGTCTGTTTTGTGTTTCCTTAGAAGTTTTTATTGTTTTGTGTTTTACATATAAGCCCTTTCTCTAATTTTTGTGCTCAATGTGAAGTAGGAGTCAAGGTTATTTTTCCCATACAGTATCTAGTGACTTTAGCACCTTTCATTGAAAATCTTCCTGAGTTTCAGCGGAGCCTTTGTGATAAGTCAAGTGTGGCTTTTTAACCTTGTAAGGAGGACTTTTGCAGCACACCCCTCAGTTGGTTGTCCTGGGGAAGCTAACGGGTTGCTGTGAGGCGGAAGCTATGCTTTTCAAGTACCAGCGGGGTCACGGCTGGTGGACAAGTTTCAGCAGAGCTTCCAGACTAAGATAAACGAGGAAGAAGGACCTGGTGATCTGCTTCTAAAAAACTGGCCAGTGGAAACTGTACACGTAGCTGCTCTAATACGTATCTAATAGCCTATCTATGAGGGCGACTTCAGAAGAATGCCATTTCGCATCGACTTTTTGAGACCCCCTCAGACATAAAGATGTTGAGTAAAGTCTCCTCTGTGCTCCTTCCTGTCAGTGTCAGGCAACGTCGTCAGCATCTTGACTTCTGTCCCTAGAGGTAGCCACATAAATGCAATAATATCATACGCACACTACTTTTTTTGTTTTACTTCTTTTGCTCAGTGTTATATTTATGTGACCCCCCCAATCTTGTCTTATGGAACAGTAAGTACTTCATTTTAATTGGTGTGGCTGAGTAACATTTTTAATTGACTTTGATCATCTTAGGAAAAAACTATCTACTGAAAATCATTCTTCCAAAAAAAAAAAAAAATTCTTCCCAAAATGGTTTCTAACCCCACATTGGTTAGGGATCGGAGCCTTTTAATGCTGATGTTGTGGGAAGGAGGTGGCCGTGCATCAACTTGGTGACGCGGAGTTTTCCCAGTTCTGTGCTTTCCCGCTGTGCTTCCTAAAATGTACTTCATTTTGCTGGAGCAAAGTTGGAGATTCGTCAGAGTTTTCCTGAGGCCTACCTACTTCAGACTAACCGTCGTTGGCAATATTGAGCTCATACCGGGTCAGGGCTCTGTGTAACATGTTTTACTTAGATGATTTTATTGATTTATTTTTAGTCATTTTATTGGGAGCTCTTAACAGAGATCATAACATTCCATAGTTCAATCACATCAAGCAGTGTTGTACAATCGCTACCACAATCAGTTTCAAAACATTTTCTTTCTTCTTGAACTCCTTGATAGCAACTCCCCTTATCTCCCTCCCTCCCTCCCTCATCATACCCCCCAGGAGCCCTTATTCCTTTTTTTTTCTAGAATAGTTTTTTTTTCTCATCTTACACACTCCAATATATCCATTTACATGCAATGTCTGTTGTTCGATCCCACCTCTTTTTGTTCCCTCAGGCACCCATTACTCCTGTTATTGTTTCCTAAACAGTAGCTTAGGAAACTGATGAGTTCCTGATGAGTTATCTATCTTGACTTTCATGTACTAAATGATCTTAAATATACAAATGAACATAGGCAAATCTAACATGATTAATGAGGTAAAACAAATAGAAACCATAAACCTTACTGGGGAGGAAATATTAAAGAACTAGAGGATAGTTAAGTGGTTCATTAGTGCATACTGCACCCTGGATTTATCATCCCTTCCTTGAGGCCTTTCTGAGAGGGACTGTCGAGTTATCTTACAGGTGGGTTTTGTTTCTCCATTGAATATCCACACCCCTTCACATTTGGTTGCTTGTTTTTGAACTTCTGATACCACTTCTTGTCGACACTTCATGATCACAGAGGCTGGTGTGGCATTGTTGCTTTCCTGCTAGATGGCTGCTTGTTTAGTAACAAGCCTTTAAGACCCCAGACACTTTAATAGCCAGGCATCATCAGCTTTCTTTAGACTTGCCTTTATGCTCAACACACTTGGTGTTTGGTGACTGTTCTGGAGAGCGAGGGCGGAGTCGGTGTCCTGCGAGTGCTAACTGACTGCTCTTCTCCTGTGTAGGTATGTCATCGACGGTGCCACTGCACTCTGGTGTGCAGCAGGAGCAGGGCACTTTGAAGTTGTGAAGCTTCTTGTCAGCCACGGAGCCAATGTGAACCACACCACGGTCACTAACTCAACCCCTCTTCGGGCAGCGTGCTTTGATGGCAGACTGGACATTGTGAAGTACTTGGTTGAGAACAATGCCAACATCAGCATTGCCAACAAGTATGACAACACTTGCCTAATGATTGCAGCGTATAAGGGTCACACCGACGTGGTCCGATACCTCTTAGAACAACGTGCTGACCCCAATGCTAAAGCGCACTGTGGAGCCACTGCCCTTCACTTTGCAGCTGAGGCTGGCCACATCGACATTGTCAAAGAGCTGATAAAATGGCGGGCGGCGATCGTAGTGAACGGCCACGGGATGACGCCCCTGAAAGTCGCTGCAGAAAGCTGTAAAGCTGATGTTGTCGAACTGCTGCTCTCTCACGCTGATTGCGACCGGAGAAGTCGGATCGAAGCTTTGGAACTCTTGGGGGCCTCCTTTGCAAACGACCGTGAGAACTATGACATCATGAAGACATATCACTATCTCTATTTAGCCATGCTGGAGAGGTTTCAGGATGGGGACATCCTTGAGAAAGAGGTTCTACCACCGATCCACGCCTATGGGAATCGAACTGAATGCAGAAATCCTCAGGAACTAGAGTCCATCCGGCAAGACAGAGATGCTCTTCATATGGAAGGTCTGATCGTCCGGGAGCGGATTTTAGGTGCCGACAATATTGACGTTTCCCATCCCATCATCTACAGGGGGGCCGTCTATGCGGACAACATGGAATTTGAACAGTGCATCAAGTTGTGGCTCCATGCACTGCACCTCAGGCAGAAAGGCAACAGGAATACCCACAAGGATCTTCTCCGATTTGCCCAAGTTTTCTCCCAGATGATACATCTGAATGAATTTGTGAAGGCCCCCGACATCGAGTGTGTGCTGAGATGCAGTGTGTTGGAAATAGAACAGAGTATGAACAGAGTGAAGAATACCCAGGATGCTGACGTCCACAGCGCCATGGACAATTATGAATGTAATCTCTATACCTTTCTGTATTTAGTGTGCATCTCCACCAAAACACAGTGCAGTGAAGAGGATCAGTGCCGAATTAACAAGCAGATCTACAACTTGATTCACCTGGACCCCAGGACCCGGGAAGGGTTCACCTTGCTCCACCTGGCTGTCAACTCCAACACCCCAGTCGATGACTTCCACACTAATGACGTCTGCAGCTTTCCAAATGCTCTGGTCACCAAGCTCCTGCTGGACTGTGGTGCAGACGTGAACGCCGTGGACAACGAGGGAAACAGCGCCCTTCATGTCATCGTGCAGTACAACCGGCCCATCAGTGATTTTTTGACCTTGCACTCCATCATCATCAGCCTGGTTGAAGCTGGCGCTCACACCGATATGACAAATAAACAGAACAAAACTCCGCTAGACAAAAGTACAACTGGGGTATCTGAAATACTGCTTAAAACTCAAATGAAGATGAGTCTCAAGTGCCTGGCTGCCCGAGCAGTTCGGGCTAACGACATTAACTATCAAGACCAGATCCCCAGAACTCTGGAAGAGTTTGTTGGATTTCATTAAGTGACTGGATGTGTGAAATCGTTTAATGTGGTGCTAAAAAGTAAAGGACTTTAATCACAGACACTAGAATTATGTGTTCATCACTTTACTCTCCTTTCCACTGCCCCTCTAACCCATCCTCTCCACATGCTCTGTCTGTTTCCTCGCCTCTTCTGGTGATTAATTTGAAACACGTCCTGAGCGAAGCCACATTGAGTAAGTGTGGCTTACAGGTGTTTTTCTTTGTTTTAAAGAGGTGACTATAAACTATTTTGTTTATGTAACATCTTTTATTTGAAGCGGACAGTGTTTTTTAAACCGCTGCCTAAAAACGTACTTCTGTTAAAAGCCTATGTCAGCAGGTTAGCCATGCAGTTAGCCTTGAGGATGTGCTGAAGGGAAAGATCTAAAGGACCACTGAAAACAGCAGGATGCCCAGGTGTGCACACCATGCCACGCCTCTGTAGAGGGTCCTCCCTCTTCAGTTGTACATGAGCCGCGGCGGAACACCGCCTCACATCAGGAGGACTGACAGAATTTACAGTGGACTCCGATAACGTGCTCCGATAGTGATAGCCACACACGTGACTTCCAGGCAGTCTAATGAAATGGTAATCTTGTGCTGGGTGGCACATTCAAAGTAGTAATAACCTGAAACTAGCTTTTAAAGCATGTTGATGGACACGTTGTCTTTCAGCTGGGGCGCTAACATTCTTTGACGTTTCTGTTTCCGTGGAATGCAGCCGAAAGGCATTCGTCTGCATGGACTCTCAGCTCCCAGGCATCGACATTAGGAACGCACGGCGTAATCACAGTGTCACTATGCAGTCTGGTTTTGCCCCCTCCATCTTCCCGATCCTCCCGGCTCTTCACATTGGAAGCTACGATTCCAGGGGCCGTCCGTCATTGTGCCTCCCTAAGTGCAGTTGTCCTCTGAAACACACAGGGTCAGTCACCCTGAGTCAGAACGGACCGAGTCCGTCATGACAGAAGGGACCCGGATAGTTTTATTTTATTATTAATGTTTTACTTAGTCTATGATAAGTAGAACCACGAGTGTGGCAGAGGAAATCAATTGTTTTTGATGACGAAAATTCATAATGCCATTTTGAAAGGTATTTGAGAGCAGCACATTTTAAACCATAAAATGTTAGTTTTCCTGGCAGGCTATACAGAGAAGCCCTTTAGGGTTTTTGTTTGCTTGTTTGTCTTGCTTTGTTTTCACTGCATTTTACCTATCAGATGAAGGGTATTCTGTGATGATTCAGCATCACAGCAATTCAAGTGAAGAGTACGCACTCCTTTCCAGGGAAGTTAACTGCAAAGAAAGTAAAGTCAGCTTGTGTCTGTGTTTTCTCTCTAGTGCCAAATGAATGCCTTAGCTCCTCATAATGCATGGCACTGTCAGTGAAGACCTGCACCTTTTTTTTTTTCCTTGAATGAAAAGCATTATGATACGGTAGTATCAGATATCAACTCTTAAGGTGTCAATAAACAGTTGATGTATGAATGAGAAAAATATTGCGGATGGATCAATATAGCCTCATGACCAAGCCAAAATCAGCACCTAGGACCTTAAATAAAATAGACCTCCCAAAATGAAATCCTATGAAGAGTGGGAGAGGATGGAAGGGAGACCTTTAACCCCTCCGCCTCACCACATAAGAGGCAAGGTACTTTTACAGCCCCTATAGTTCTGTTTAGTGTGTCTTCCTGCTTGGGGAATGTTTTGATCCGAAATTCTCCCATGGCAGTAGGTTTCTATATTCCCTCCCTGAGGTTTTTGCAAGGAAGGTCTATTAGAAGGATTTAAATGGGGTGGGGGGGGGGGCGGGTGGGGTATTTGAATGAGCCCTGATTCGAGATTTCTGGCCTTGATCCTCCTGTCTGGGAGGCATCAAGGCAAGACTGTACCTTGCTCTTGGCAACTCCTGGGGCCTTTAGAGGAAAATGTCCCACTTCCAGGTAAGTGCATCATGCCTTTTCTGTGGCTCAGATGGGACCTTTTCTCTCTGTTTTGGTTTCACTTCAAGGCCTATTCATTTGACTGTAAGAACTCCTTCAACTGAGATGTTCACTTGGTGCCCATTACTCGTGTACATGCTTTTAAACACCCAGACTTAATGATTGCAGATAACGCTGCGTGCTTTAAAACTACATGCCATCCCTTTTGCTACCCAGGACAAGCACTGTTTTGGATAGTGCTTATTTACAGAACGAGGATAATGATGAAATGTGCATACAAACATCACAATTTAGTGACACTCGGATGTTTCTGAGAAGGGAGGACTGAAGGCTGGAGAAAGGAGAACCATGCTGATCGGATGCTGACCCAGTAGGAGAAAGGATTTGAAGATGGTGGAATAAACAACTGTGCTAATGGTAGCGGAGCCCTTTTTTTTTTTTTTTAAACTATAGTACATCGTGCACTGTATTGCTAAGGATGTCGTGTAAAATCCAAGTATGTATTGTGAAACATCTGTATAAAATCATTCTGGAAACAAGTGCTCTACGTGCCTGTTTAAAAAAATTTTGGGGGGGGATAGAATTACTTTTAAACCTTAGTTAACCCTTTCCTGTACTTGGTTATTGTTTTTGAAAGAGGAAAATACTGTATAGACTCGAGTATAAGCTGACCCGAATATCAGCCGAGGCACCTAATTTTACCACAAAACTGCATAAACAATGTGCTGAAAAAGGGCTCTTACACGTGTGTATATACGGTAGGTAAGAAAGGTGATAGTTCTGTATCTCGGCTCTTTTCTCTGTTCCAGCCACTTCTGTCCTCTTTCTTATTGGTCGAGTTGGGCCTTCAACTAACTCTTGCATCCCGCCTGTCAGTGACTGTCAGACATTTGGGCAATTGAGAGGCGCCGGTGGATGTTTTTGATGGCAAACCATGTGAGACTGAGGGGGGCTTTGGCCTTTTCCTAGAGCAGGTGACATTGACCTCGAGTGAAGGTAACGGTTTAACTCAAGGAATGGGCAGTAAGTCCATTCCCTCCTGTATAAGTCTGGGTACTTTAGAGAAATAAATCCACAGAAACTCATGTATAAGAGAGAATTTTATATAAAGGTTAAGTGCGCATCAAGAAAACATCCCAACCTAGTGCTGCCCAAGCCCACAAGTCCAACATTAACCCATATGTCCAACACCAATCCACAAAGTCCTCCTCCATCTCACAAAACACGCAATGACGCCTACTGCAGGAGCCAGTGAATGTGTAAGCATCTCAGCACTGGCAGGGGTCTCTACACGGCTGCTCCAGCACCCAGGGCTGCATCGGGGTAGGTCCATGTGGCTTCTCCTTGGGGATGTTTTAGGAATTCAGCCTTGCAAGCTGAAGCTGGGAACTGCTAAGGCAGCTGCACCCTGGTGCGACCATCAAAAGCAAGAGACCCGAGAACTGGAAAGGTGAGGCTCACCCAGCCGTTTATCCCTCCGCCCTTCAATTAATCCCACAAGTGTTTATCGACCAGGTTGGCACAATAAACTAACTTAATCCACCCCTTGCCAACCAGGCACCTGTACATAATTCTTTAGGGTCACAATTGCAATTAAGTAACACCTACACTTTAACCCTATGATCCTGTGAATTTTTTCCCTCACCTATGAAAGTTTGTAGCCAACCACTTCATGCCTTTATCTCCCCCCCCAAGTTTGGGTATCCAATTTATATACTGCCCACTTATATCAACGCAGTTCTCTGGGAAGACTCATATTTTTCGACAGGAAGTCTTCATTCCAGTTGGAACCTTGTGAAGTCTGTATCCATAAGCAAAGTCAAATCCGGACAGGCCATCCATAAAGTGAGCAACAATATACACCAGTTCACAGGCTCAAAAATCTCCAGCTGGCCGGGTTCTGGTCAACTCAATGTGGGCTGCCTCACTCAGCCTCCACAGGGTGCCCATTGGTCGCCTTGCCTTAGACCATGGGCTCTCAGCAACTCAACAAGCCTAGGCCCCTCAGGCTAGGTCATGAACCTTAAACCAGTCAACCCGCTCTCGTCTTTTTTTGTTTTCCTGTAAGCCAAGTCCACAGGTGTCAGTGGCCAAACTCAACCTGTCTCTTTATTGCTGCATTTCTCCCACTCAACAAGTAGATCCAGCTGGTCATCCAGGCCGAGTGCTTATGTGAAAAATGGCCCTCCTTTTACCAATGGAGGTGAGTTAGTTTATTGTTCCAACCTGGCGGATAAACACGTGGGAGTAATTGAAGGGCGGAGGGATAAGCGCTCGGCCCCTGGCAGCAGCAGCATTGCTTTCATTCCATCCCGAACTGCTCTGGCGTTTCACGGCCCGATGCCTGAAGGTTCTTTGCTTCGGGAACTTCAAGCAAGCAAGTCCCCAAGACAGACCATCTACAAGCTTTGGTCTTGCTTGATCCTGGGGTGAGTTCTATTGTACTAATAATAACTGATCAGTAACTAGTAATTGTGAAAAACCTAGGTAGGTGTGGTAGCACTGTTTAAATCAAACATCATAGGAGGATGGGGGGTGGGTGTGTGTAACTTCTTTTTAAAATTATTTATTTATTTATTTATTTATTTATTTCTGTTTGCGGGTGTAACTTGGTCAGGGTTTGTGAAAATGAGATCCCAAAGGAACAGCCCTGCCACCAGTTCCTCCCGTTGTAGGAGAAAGGCTGGGGATTCTCCAAGCAGACATAGCTCTTCGGGGAGGGGGTGGGGGAGGGGTGAGCTGCTGGTGTAGAAGCAGCCGGTGGGTTGATGAGGGAGTGGAAAGAAAACAGCCTATAAAGTGCTTGTTTTCATGGTAGTTGCCTATAAAAACCTTCACCGTCCCTTGGGGGGTTGGTGTCTTTGTCCTGACGAGTATCTTAGTTTTCCACAGCCAAGGTGCTGACTGTCATATTAAAATAGGTGAGAGAAAGCCAGGATCTGCCAAGTGTTCTACGGAAAGTTATTTAGTCCGTAAGACGTGAAGCTGGGTGTCGGTCCCTGCTCTTCAGATACACAGCTCTGCTCTGGCACCCTCGGGAAGCAGAGAGCTTTTAGTTACGTACACCACACCGACCCCCTGTTGGCAGACAGGCTGGGTTGTGCGCCTCAAATAGGACGCTTTCTGAAGTAAACCTTAACCTGATCATGGAGGTGTGTTAATTTTCAAAACGGAACCGCATGTGGTCTCTAGTCCTCGTGTGTAGTTTGTGCTCCTGGCTGGGGACAAACAGTGGCTTGAGGGGTCTGGGGAGTGTCCCTTGATGAGTGTGCAGGGTGAGCATTGCTAAATTAAGCTTCATTTGGAGCGTGTCACGAGGAGTG